AGAGAGAGAGAGATCACTTTATACCTATAAAAATTGTTTTCTATGAGATTCTATGGGATTTAGTTATGGAATTTTTGTTGTTTAAAACTTTAAAAAGTTTAACTTTTCTCATAAAATCGTTTGAATCTATACTTCAATTTTCTATAGTATTGTTGTCGTGTCTGCGAGAAGTGATCGCCAATCAAATCCATTACTCGGACACCCAATTGGAGACAGATTATGATCTAGATGTCAGCGATTTTTTGGTCCGTATTATATCATTATCAACTAAAGCACACTATATTTAAAGCACACTATATTTAAAGCACACTATATTTAAAGCACACTTTAGTTATATTTACTTGAACATTAACACTAGAACATTTAGTAAAAATTACTAAATTTATATTCAAATATATATTATTTAATATAATTATATACATAAACACGTATAACATTTTGGTGACTACGGGTGCGGCGGGCAATGGGGTTACAGGTGTGGTCAACGATCGCCACATCACTGGCCAAGTGGTCGGACACGAAGAAAGCGAAGTGGCGTAAACTGAATCAGGAGAGGGCGGCCGCGAAGAACCGGACCACTCATCGACGGCATCGGCGGCGTCGCGACGAAGAGATGGTTTGCTACAAGAGTTTTGGCTGTTTCCGAGACGAGGGACCCTTTGACTACTTGGACACTCTGCCGGCCTCTCCCGAGTCCATCGCCACCACATTCACGCTCTACACCCGCAAGAACTCAGTCGACGGCGAGAAACTAGACTACGAAAACAGCACTACTGTACTCAAGAGTAACTTTAACTCTTCAAATCCCATTAAGATTATTATACACGGCTTTGGCTCCAGTGGTCGGCGCCCATGGGTTTTGCAAATGACCGAAGCGTTTCTTTTTATGGTATGCTTACCATTCATGTCCCGCTGTTTGGGGTACAAGTATTTTATCAACATTTTGTTATAAATGTATTGTTTTCTAATTATCTGTATTAGGAGGATATGAATTTAATCGTGGTCGATTGGGAGAATGGCGCACAGTTACCTAATTATGTGCAGGTATTATACGCCTACTGCCCCCCACCCATCACTTTCATCCTGCCCTAACATTTATTACAAACCTTTTACCCGATCGTTGGTTACATTTGTTTCCCCGTCCGATAGGCTGCGGCCAACACTCAGCTGATTGGCAAACAGATAGCACTACTCATACGTATGATTAACTTCAACAAAGGTCTGGCGCCCGAAGACTATCATCTCATAGGGTTCTCGTTGGGCGCACACGTGGCCGGATTTACCGGCATGGAAATTAGCAATATTAGCCGCATCACTGGTC